CCCCCAGTCCGACCCTGGTTGGACTCTGTCTCACAGGCAGGTTGCAGTGTAACATCAGAGGAGACTGGGCCAATTGTCCATTCTCAAACTGCACCGCTTAGAACTAACTAAACAATGCAGAGATTATTTGTATATAATTGTATTTAATAACCGTAAGAAATTAAACAGTATGAAGTGATTTGTAAATAGGAATACAGATTTGACTTAATGTTTTCATAAATATATTTTTCTCCCAGTTTGTCATGGGACTTATTTTTACCGTCTCAAAGAACCGGAATCGAGAACCGAAAATAACTGGTATCGAAAAGCAGAACCGGAATCGTTAAAATCCAAACGATACCCAACCCTACCGCTCACTTACGTTAGGGTGTCGTAAAAACCGTGGGAAAATGTAAAATACGATGGCAAAGAAGAAGATTCCAGTGGCCCCAATTTGTGTCCATTCTGGACAAGTGAAAAATGTATTCGGACAAGTAAATTGCCAAACTCACTTGTCCATGGACAAGTACTGTCTAAAAACTTTTTCTCACACTGGGTTCTAATCTAATCTATTACATAGCCATTACATTTCTAACTCCTAATGACAGGAAGGCAGAAAGCGCATTATACAAATAATAATACTCATAATAATAGCAGACATTTTTTAACAATGACCACAATATCATTATTTTAATAAACCAAATATGAACAATTGAGGAAAATGAGGAAGAACTGATGATTCAAATGTTGTAGTACAAGTAGTAATGTAGTTAGTGCATAAATTACTATTGCAACAAATGTGTTCATTTTCTTCATTATTAGTCGATTTTTTGGACGAATGCTCCGGGCAAGTGTTTACAATGGGGGGGCCAGTGATAATAACATTCCGACGGCCCAGAGGGCCAGTGACATTTTACCCTTAATGTATACCTGCTCCCGGTTGGTTTTGAAAAGACAGCAGGAACAGGGAACCACTGTTTTACACTTCGAAACATTTATATGTTAATGTGAGTTCATTAATCAAAAACTCACCTCCGTTTCTGTTCTGACTCTTGACTTTTCTGTAATCGTTGTACAGCGGCTCCAAGTATTTGTAGCAATCAACAGCAGTGCCAGTTAACCTCATGTACATCGCTCCTAGTAGACGAACATATCTAAAAACAAAGTGAGAACATATTAAGATTGTAGGAAAATACTTATCATACACATTTCTCTCATGTTGACTGGTCTTTCAGATGCAAGAACATTTAAATCACTGCATCAATTTTTTGCAGCGTAGGTTTGCACATAAAATGAATTTGCTTTTGTGTTTTGTAATAACAATAAACAATTCATAACAAGAGCTTTGCAGTTTTAGCAGGAACTTGAAACAGTTTGCAGTATATAGTATATATGCAATGTACAAAGATTTGCAATGGACAAAGATTTGCAATGTACAAAGATAAACGTTCAAAATATATGATATAAGGCATTAAGACAGTTATAAATATACAACGTGAAAGTGTGCCTGCATTTATCCTATGTTTCATTTTGTTGTTTGATGAAGTGAATATAGAACCAGACATGTGTTAATTGTTTCTCTCAATAGATTCTGATAGAAACTCACTTGAAATCCTCGTTTTTAATGAACTCAACGATGATGTCTTTTTCAGGTTGAATCTGCAGCATCTTCAGAGTGAGGCAGAGGAAGGGAGTGGGCTTGATGTTTCCTCCAAACACTCCACCAACATACTTCAACTCCATGGCTTTATCTACAACCAGCTCAGCTGGGAATGACAAAACATGCACACATTACATCACAGTAACTGGGAAATACAAAAGTAACTAAAAGAAAACGTTGACACCAACTGGAGGCTGATAAAATAATATTACAAATGAACCTCAGTATGTTATAAGGGGGAGTCAAAATACAAATTGAGTTTTGGTCATTCTATAATAAAAAGCAAACTATAACCACCATTTGTATGCGATACATGATAGATGATCACTCTATATTGGTGTTGAAATAAAGAGCTATGTATATTCACTTCATTATTCATCAGGCAAAATATCAAATAAATGATGGCTATGTATCCCGGTGGACAATCGGTAAATTACTTCAATGATAGCTTAGTGTTAGGTTGTGTTAACTTAATAAGCTATTGACATACTTGTTATATTTTACATGTTAAGAGATCTAGTGTAAACTATAAGAAACGGTTCCATGTCTGTTAACGTGACTCCAGAGAACAGGAGGCTAACGGTAGCTCTCTGGCTAACAAGCCAACGTTCCTCACCGGTGAGACCGAAGCACTCCTCCTTCCAGTACTTTGATTCGTATATTCGAGTCCGGATGATTTTCTCCACCAAATACTGCGGGTTGGTCCCGTGTATACTGTTAGCATCTTTAACGGTTCTGTTTGCCATTTAAATACAATGAGTTACTTTTGCTAACAGGGAAACAACAGCACAACTGTCGCTGCCCGATCCTTTCCGGGAACACGATTTGTCTTGCGCATGTGCGAAATTGAAGCTACTTCTTCTTCTCTTCTTCTTTTTCGGGTTTTACGCAAGCCCCCAGGAAGTGCTCCGGACTCAGAGGAAAATATCTATGGAAAATATTAGTAGTGGCAAAACGGCGGTACTACAACTTTCTTATCAATACTTTTTCCCATCGATTTTTTTTTTTTTATTGGGAAAGAAACAACGTGGACTTTTTGGTAAACAACTTGATTTTGTTGAGTAAACATTTTATTCATTAGTGTAAATATTTGAAAGCTAAACCACACATCAACTGATGGAAGAATGAACTCAAAGTTTTTGCAAAATCGGTCCAACATGACAGACAAAAACGCTCAGAAACTTTTTGCATTATTGGGCTTATTTATGTTGCTTGAATAGGACCAACACATTGTTGTAAAGCAAAAACATTTTAATTTAAATTTGTTGTTTCAGCATGTTTTTAAAGATTTAATCTTTTAAGAAACTAAATATCAACTTTGAACAGAAGGGTTTAAAAACACGTTTTTAATCCAAATAAACTTGAAACATAAACCTATTTGTCATTTCAAAATTCGCTTTTACTGTCTGCGTGAAAGGCACAGAAGGCTATGAGCGAATACATATCAACATTAAAAAATTACAAAGTCATACAATATATACCATGTGCTACTATTGATGAAGTATGATGAGAGTTTTCAGCCCGCGAACCCCAAAATAATAGTGCCAGAGACTCGACCCCCGACGGGATAGTGATCTCCAGTGTGGCGGCGGAGGGAGCCGAGGGCACCACCGAAGGAGAGGCGAGCGATGACAGCAGTATCACCGTGGTGCAGATAGGGCAGAACGGGGAGTAGGGGCAGAGAACACTATTATTATCTTTTTATTAATATGGTTTTATTATTATCCTAAAGTAAGGTAATGTAGATGACTCAAAAGTATAATTGCCTGTATTAAAAAAAATGTCACAAAAGAAACAAACAGAGTGGGTCAATATCACTATAAAGTAACTTTGGTGTCCCCATCAGAATCACTCAGTTATCATGAAAATTTAGCAGAATAATGAAACTCTGAGGTCTTATTATAAATGGCCAAACATTTACACACATATCAGTACAATGATAAGTCTCTTGAAATGTGTTTCCTTCCTTTTATACCGTATTTTTTAATTGGATGTACATGATTTTGGCATGTCCCACACACTGCTCTGCTAACTACAGTGTGTGTAATAAGTGGTTAAATTATACT